ATAAAATGTTATCATCCAATATTATTACCTCAATTTCACAAATAAATTTGACCTTTTCACTATGTCAAATACAAATGACCATTAATTTTTGTACTATATACAAAGTATATGTCAAATGTCAATTATAACATTGTTAAATAAATGAATAATTGTACTAGTATTTTTAAAATATAAATTGAAACTAGTCCAACAATATTTTACACATTATTAGGAGTAAAGTTATTGTATTAAAGTAAACAATGTAGTCATATTAATCAAAAATCCAATATATTTTGTCCGTTCTAAATATCACCAAGTTTATAAAATTGATAATATCCCATGACCATGTCAAGTACTCCTCATTTTATTTCCCCATCTAAAATAATTGGGTTAAACTATGACTATAAATTTCCATTAATTATGTTCGACTTCTTGTTTTATCAATATCACATTTTTATAATTTAAACGTATATGATTTAAAGTCATATGTTTTGAAACACCTTTTGGAGACCATAAAAAATCATATGTTTTGAAACACTTTTTGGAGACCATAAAAAGATGAATAGGCAAACAAGATAGAGATTAAGGGCTTGTTTGGTGCTTATTTGATCTGGTCTAATCTGAATATCAAATTTGACCTTAAATGTACTCCGAATATCAAATTTGACCTTAAATATACCATAATCAAGTCTTATTAAGTAATAATGTGCATTTTATTATTACAAAAATAAAGATATTAAACAATAAGGACTGCAATTAAAATCTTATTAAACAGTGATTTAATCTAAACCCAAACTAAACTGGTTGAATTTAACTAAGATTTAATGGGAAGTTCCTATTGGAACTCCCTCCAAAAATAAACGTATGCCACTCAATGCAGCGAGCACACGGTATTCTTTAGTAAAAGGCGAAAGAATAGTTCGCTCTGTGCTCACTGCGTGGCTGCGTAAGTTTCCCAAGGTAGTGGTGCAAGTATTTATACTGTGTTTCATCTTGTTTGTTGATATTTATTCGATGTGGGACTCGTTTGTATAATAATGCATTTTGAGCAGGATATTTCGCTCCTCGGTAAACTAGACCCCAACACCACCAGCTCCCATAAATGATGTTATTTAGATTCCTATAAGATTAACATCCTTTAGATATTAATAACAAATCTACTATGGTTTTTTTTTTTTCCTTATCAAAAGAGAAGTGCCAAGTTTTATTATGTTTCAATGATAGTCTGATAAGAAGAAATCTTTAAGGATGTAAAATCTGTTTGGATAAAGCCTGATGATGACTCCGGCAGATCCACTGCCCACCATATGGTAATAGAAATTTGTGATAGCTCTCTAACTCGACTGTAAAATACTTTGAACCTCGATTAAGAAGGGCCTAATTTGATCTCATCACTCTCGTAGTCTCATACTCCGAATCATATTAATTTCTATTTTGGACAGTTATACACTAGTTAGTGTTCAGATCAATGTAAGAATATAGGTATCATATACGGAGTATCAATTTAGTCATTTATTAAAATCTTTTGGCGTTAATCTTCCTTCCTAACCAGAAATTTCTTCCGCACAAAACTATTAATTATGAGCTCTAAAATTATTACTGCCTAATCGAATTTACCACGAGAATTCATTAGTCATAGAAGATGTTATTAAAAGAGAATGGTTCATCTTATGAAATGAGATACAAATACAATAATGGGTTATGTGTAGTAATAAATCCATAATTCATGTAGCATGTGGCACAAAC